GGGGGGGGGGGTATCGCCCTCCTCACCCCTCCCCTTAATCCGCGCCTGGACAGTACCCCGATAGCAGAGCTGCATAAAATGTGCATTTTGTGTCCAATCTAAAACGCGCCTAAAACGCGTGTAGGCGCCTAATACGCACGTACATTTGCCTTAAATGCGCGTTTCGGATGGGACATATAATGCGGTTCGAATGCAGTTTGCTTCATTTTGCTACCTGGATAAGTAGGGGGTCCTTCTGTTAGAATAAAAAGCACCTCGCCAGCGTACCGTTTTTGGTGGTCGGAATAAGACCCTTCCGACAGGCGGGTGATGGCGCCTCCCGGCCTAATAACCCCCATCGCAAGTGGTCACAAATCGCCGCGGATCGTGGCCGCGAATGGTCAATGCCCACTTGTGTGTATCCGCTTAGGTGAAAAGAGACCCGTACGCAAAGTGTATGTGCCTCACTCGATCTCGCTGCTGTGAGCGGTTGTCGGTCACGAAATGTTGACCGCTCTGGCCACCCGCCACCCGCGCTGCGGCGCGAGGGCGAGGCAGACAACTGCACAGTCCGGTGGCGAGGGGACGATGTACGTCACTACTGGTGTTTCGCATGTCGATTCGAGGTCGAAATATTTTTATTATTATTTTCAGCCATGATTTTTCCAGAGTCAGACATCTCTGGTTTCTGCAAAATACACAGTTCCAACGCGACGCTGATCTGTTGACACATACGCTCCGGGCCCCCGCACATCCACCCAATAAAGTGCAGTAGTTCAATCAGAGAGAGAGAGAGAGGGGGGGGGGGACAGAGAGAGATAGAGAGGGGCCGAGAGACGCGGACGGACAGACAGACAGAATGAAATAGGGGGAGATGGAGGGATCTTCTGTCAGTCCACGCTCAGCCTCTGTTTGCCACTGAAACTTGATTACTGTCGGGCGCGGTGCAGCCGCCTTGCCTCCCTGCGTGCCACACATGATGCCGCAAGTGAGACCCGCACATAGTGCCGCAAAGTGGTGCCGCAAGTGGTGCCCGCACATAGTGCCGCAAGTTGTGCCGCAAGAGGTGCCGCAAGTAGTGCCGCACATGGTGCCGCAAGTAGTGCCCGCATATGGTGCCGCAAGTTGTGCCGCAAG